CCCTGCATCAACCCATAAAAAGCACGGTGTAAGTACAAACCTTTTCAGAAGATGGGAAACCTGGAGGGGGAGTCATATAAACTTCTCCAGAAAGAGTTCCATGTAAGAATGTATTCTTGACATCTAATTGAAGAAGGGACCAGCGACGAACAACAACAACGGCAAGAAGACAACGAACAGCAGTGAGACGAGCAACAGGGGCAAAGGTCTCCTCATAATCAACTCTATATTCCTGAGAATAACCCTTAGCAACTAGAAGAGCCTTGTAGCTCTCATCGGAACCATCAGAATTAGTTTTTATTTTGAAAACCCACTTGTACCGTATAGGTGTCTTGCTAGAAGGCAAATCCACTAAATCCTAAGTGTGAGTCTTTTCTAGAGCCTTCAATTACTCAGCCATAGCTTGCTTCTTCAATGGATTATCACTTGCCTCACAAAAATGACATAGGCTCATGATAAGATAAAATGACAAAGTAACAATGATAATCATGCAAATGACTAGGTCAATGACTTACTCGATGTGATCGACGAGGTATAACAGGTCCATGGACCAAAGACTGATTAGCATCTAGAAACAAGGTCGTAGGTGGATCAAAAGTCTCAAATGGAATAGAATTTCGAGGCGAAAATTGAGTGGTAGAATCATGGTCAAGAAACAAGGGAGGATATGACGACAAGAATGAAGGTGAACCAGAAATAGATGAGACAGGAAATTTACAAGGATGAAAAACATGATACTCTTTTAAAAGATAACATGACAAGATATATGCAACCGTTTAGAGATCGGATCCCAAATTCTATGACCTTTATACTCTACCCCATAACCAAGAAGAAAATATAAACGCGCACGAGGTTCCAATTTGGAACGTTTATGCGGAGGGATAAAGACAACCGACACAACCGAAGGGACAAAGTATACTATAATCGAATTGCTGACCATATAGACATTCAAAAGAAGTACTATTATGGATGAGAGAGAAGGGAATACAATTTATGATGTAGAAAACAGTAAGGACAACTTACCCCCCAGAACTTATCATGACAAGAGGGAGATAAAAGAGACGCACGGAGAATATCTAGAATGTGATAATGTTTGTGCTCAGCGTGACCATTTTGTTGAGAGGTGTATGCTGAATCAATGTACCTTTAGCAGAGAGAAAACTTAATAAGGTAGAATCTCTATACTTAAGGACATTATCAGTTCAGAGGGTCTATATGGAACAGAACAATTGAGTTCTAATCATGTGAGCAAATTGAATGTGAATTTGAGGTAATTTTGAACGATGTTTCAAAAAATATATCCATGAAAAATGGGAATAAATATAGGAAAATGACATAATAACGACACCCACTCGTAGAGGGAACATAGAAATGACACCAAATATCAGAATGAACCAAGGAAAATGGTTTACTTGCGACCGACATAGTTTATAAATAATATAAGACTGATTGTTTGCCCAAATGACAGTGTAAGCAATCAAATGACTCAAAACGAGTAAAACCCAAATGACCATTACTAACGAGAGACTAAATTTTAGAGAAAGACACATAACCAAGATGAATATGCCACTTGAGACTAGGGGAAGAAAGGAAAGTAAGAGGGGTATGAGTAGTAGCAGCTGAAAAATTACAGGGACGGATTTTCAAAGACTGTACCTTAAATAGTTGACCCACTTGTAAGCAATCAAATGACTCAAAACGAGTAAAACCCAAATGACCATTACTAACGAGAGACTGAATTTTTGAGAAAGACACATAACCAAGATGAATATGCCACTTGAGACTAGGGGAAGAAAGGAAAGTAAGAGGGGTATGAGTAGTAGCAGCTGAAAAATTACAGGGACGGATTTTCAAAGACTGTACTTTAAATAGTTGACCCACTTTTCGGCCTATCTCAAGAATTTGACCCGTACTTAGATCCTGAACCTTCACAACAGAAGAAGAAAAGTAACAGGAAGTCCCTACTCAACTAATACAAGATTTAAAGTCAATTGACGAATGCAGTAAGTATCAGAAAGGTATATAAATAGTAGAGATACAGATCATAAATGAGTTATATCCATGTGACTCCCATTACTAGTCTATATAGACATTGAAGATGACATGAGATGCAAACCAATCAAGAGACCGAGTGTAGGTGTCATATGATGGTAGCAACCGGAATTAAAATACCACGAATTGTCCATGACAGAAAAGAAACTAGAAGCAAGAACTTGATGCAAGAGAGTCACGATATTCTAAACTGAGAAAGCCATGCCAGTAACAGACACGAAATCAAATCAACTCCAATGACAAAACCAATTACATCAGGATGTAAGTAATCAAGCCAGGAGGCGGCAGCCAAAAACAGCGGCTGGAGACAGCCCGATGCACCGCCATGCGCGGCTCAAAGACAGTGGCGGCGGACAAAGGGCAACGCCACGATTTGCGTCGGTGGCGCATGTGGGCCGGATGCGCCGCCGTTGGCGGTAAAATTCAGGGTACGAGTTTTCTAGACGGTGCCGGTCCCAACAGTGGCGGCAGCGACCACCAGGGCCCGGCGGATGGCAGCGAACAATAGCGACAGCTAAGGTTTTGAGTTTTTAAAATTGGACTCTAATACCATGTTAAAATTTGGGAAAATTTTTTTATTCATAAATCATAAATTCAAGGCCTATTTATAGGCATAATCCAAAACGAATAAAATAAAATAAACAAACAAAATAAATAATATTCCAATAACTTGTTTTTCGATCTCTTGTGTTGCTGATCAATGTTGGATTTGGGGATGAATTAAATTCTACTGCAAGGTAGGGATCTATAAAAGTAGTGATTAATGAATATACATACTTTGTAATCAGGTTCGCAGCGACATATGTGAGCACCAATGTGCTTGAGAACAGTATTGATAGCCATAAAATGGTGGCAGCTCAAAGTGTGAATATAGATATGTATATGTGTTTAGATTTTGTGTTTGCATAGCCAAATTCGTAAAACTCAAAAGCTTAAGTTTTTTTCTACATTTTTTAAAAATTGCACCAATGCATGTCCCTCTGCAATTTGGCGGAGAGCAAGATGGAAAACACAATCGGGCACTGCAAGGCGTATGATTTATTTTATCTTTGTAGATATGAGAATATATATATCTTCATCCATAGATTTTGGTTTTGCATACGTATAATTCTACGGTATTATTACTATTTTATCTTTTCATGTTTGTGCTAAATGATAATGGCATCAAGACTAGCACGATAAGGCTCGTCGCAGATGTCATTGTGTTCTTATGTTGTTGATGGATATATAGAGGAAATTAAGTAGTTGTCTTTTCATTATTTGTGATCAATTTACCTTTGTATATTTAGCTTTTGAAAATATTTGTTGTGTTGTAGGGTTATGCAAAGCATCGGATTGTTGTTCAACACATTTTTGCAAAACACCGGAAAAGAAGATATGATCGTTCAAATGTATGTTTCTATATTTCAAATCCAAGCATGTAGAGATGTTAACAAGTCGAATTTTGCTATTCATCTTTGGGCGAATAGATCGACTATGAGAGAAGGGAAAGAACTTGGATAGTGCACGGACGAAATCATCTGTAAGTGCTCGCCATTCGACAACACCGAACATCTTCTTTTATAGGTAAATTTCGCATTGATGAGTAATAACACATAATATTTCTAGATAATTATGGTTTTTTCCCATACAGATATATGTCACCCTTCCATTAGCACATGTAAAAAAAATGATGAAATCCACTATGGAAGATGGGATATGTATTGGATTGAATTTGTGAAGTTTTGCTTCTTTTGGTTGTAAGTTAGACCTTTAATTCAATTTTAACTGCTCGTATTTAGTGTGATCTCAGAGATTATTCGCATTGTTGTTTGCAAAGGTTGGTGAGTTGTGCATCATGAACTCGACCGTTTATGCGTTGATGCATACTGAAGTCAACAATGGCATAGTACTATAGCACAGTGATATCTAAAATGCTATTAAAGATGAAGGCCCGCTGCGATTCCGGAGGGATGAGGTCCACCTGTATCCAAATGCAGAGGTTATATAGGTTTGTTTGATTTTTGTTTGAGTTTGAATTTTTATTTAAATATTATTTTTATTTAATATTTTGTGAGATGAAATATTATATTTTTATTGTGCTTTCATTCGCCAGCCTGCAAGATAAATATCATTAAATTTTTTGTCAAATATATATAAAATACTACAATTTATATTTACAAACTACATTAAATTAAATATTACCATAATATTTCGAACATGGCCAACGGATCGACCCCCCCAACGGTATTGATTTGCAGCTGCTGCTGGTTTTTTTTTTTTTTTTTTCTATTTTCTTTATTTCGTTCAACCATATCCTAAAATTCTTTAGAACTCCATTGCTCATTCATTCTATCCAAAATTTCAAGAGAAATTTGTTTTGGACATGCATTATTTTTCGAGTGTACCCTAAATTTTTTTCTTAATAACTCACTAACTTTATCTAAAAATAAATTACAAATCAATATTCATACTAAGGTTTCATCTATAAAAATGCTATTGAAGCATAATAGTTAAAATCAATTCAATAATAAAATAGTTAATAAAACAAACTTAATATTATATATACTTTAAATATTTCAAACTATTTGTCTCTTTGGCTATTATGTACTTATTTTATAAAAATCCATTCTTCAGAAAAATTTGATCGAGAAATATACCTCGTAGGTAATTTCTCACAGAAAAATCCATGAAAAATTTTGTAAGTAAATTACTCACGATATTACTCACGGAATTTTGTCCGTAAGAAATTTGCTCACAGACTTTGTCCATAAGTAAATTTACTCACTAGCTGATGACTCTCGTCAATCATTGAAGCACCAAGTGGCGATTATTACTAATAAAGTCAACAATTAATGTAAATTCAATAAATTAACTAAATTTAGGACATAGCACAAAAATATCAAATTACTATGATATATCAAACTATGTTAACCTAATAAAACAGTTTGCACATATTTGCGGAAAGAAGTAAAATTATACAACTCAAAAGTAATTTCAATCTACACATCTATCAATAAATATCATTTTTATCACCATATTCCTTAGCAAATTGTATACAAGACATTCTTAGAATTGACAGAAAACTTACAATAGGGAAAATAGAATTAAGAAGTGCAAATTGAATACACATATATCAATATTATGTTCATCAACAATATGGTCCATCATCTTGATAGACATTTCTTTATGAGATCTGTTGTTTAATATGATTGAGCATACTTTGATAAAATGTGGTTCAATTAACTAAATAAAGTGTAATCATGCTACTGTATGGTTCCAATATATTGGAGGGAAAATAGAGTTAAAAAGTGCAAAATAGATTATTATAGTATTCTAAGTTGACAATCGTAGAATTTTTTGAAATGGTTTGACAACTTAGTTTCGCCCTAACTTAGTTATGGTTTTTTTTTTTTGGAAAAAATTTATGCCTATTGGGATATACATATTTTTCGAATGTTTATTCGACAAAATAGAGTGAAATTATAACGAATTTGTCGGGTTTTAAAATTCTACTTTTTGGTTGGTTAAATGTTGGCAATTGGAATGTTTTGAGATTAAAGCTCTCTTTTAAATTTTCCTAATAGCATGTTGAGTATTGGGTCAAATTGGTAGTTGAAACTACCCGTCGAGTCCGATCAACTCGTCGATCGTTAGGATGATAAGACATAGCCTTCTACCTCTGCGCCTTGCAAACACGTGAGGGTATACCGGTATTTTAGGATAACTAGCTAACCCCCGAATGGGCTAGGTCGAGGGATCGAGATGGCGGGTTCCCTTTTTGGGTGATTCCGAGGTGCCCGTCATTCACGATGAAAAGGTCTTTAGACCGTCATCCGTGATGGAGGGATGGATTGCATACAATCCCCTCTTGGTATGTTATATTGGAGGCTAGAGGCTTGTGGGCCGTTTGGCACCCCTCGCAAACTAGTAAATAAATTGACTTACATGTACTTTGGGCTTCGAACCCTGAGATACACATTGTGGAGCTTTCCTTGAGGGTTGTGACTCTATGCTTGTTATGTGTAACTATGTGACATGTCATACGATGTAATTAGGTTAGAAAATCGGGTAAATCCGACCCTAATAAGGCCTAGTAGAGTTTTCTTCGTGATGTGAATGAAAAGGAGATATAAGAGAAGCGCTAAAAGACTCGTGTATGTGAGTTATCTTTATGTGATATGTGTCATCTTATTCAAATTATCTTCTTCAAATGATTTTGTGGCATTATACCGTATTAATTTATCTTTGATTAATTGCGCTTACTCAACCGTTGTGTTGACTCTCTTCTTACAACCTTTTTGTAGGTAATGATGCTTTTGTTATACCTAAATGATGCATCCACGTCATATTATCCATCGGGGGAACTATAAATACTTTACATTTTAAAATGGTTTTGAAACTCATTAATTATGTTTAAAGACTAATGTGTTTTATTTTAGCCTTAGCGCCACAACATAGTACTAGTTGGTTGATAAACGAGCCTTTCGATGTGGCGTGGCGGTGACACTCCGGTTTGAGCCAGCTAGGGTGTTACACTAGATTCAATGACAACTCTAGAAAGAATTACTCACCAAGTTACACGGGGGAGAATTCTGAGCAGAGCTTGTTCATATCCTTAAAGTCATTCTTTTCTAGGCCTAATACCTTCAGAAACTTCTTTCCGTCCAGCACAAGCTTCATGACGACCTATTTTTTTTAAATGGATCCCCAAATTACTTGCAAAATCTTATGTTGTTCTTTCTGATCATTACTACAACTACATAAATTGTTGGATGGAATGCTTGTTACCGAGAAGCTTGAGCTAGCGAGCCAGCCGCGCCATTTCTTCAAGGTGATGGCGTAGGAGTTGTTGCAGCACTGCAGCATCGACCAGTCCTGGCACTCGCACAGGTTGCGGAACAACTGCACTAAGAAATCCATTGTTCTGCACAACCAGATCAGCCAGTGGAATGAATGAATAAATATAGATATACATACATACATGCATACCTTGTTAGCCAGAGCAGTCCATTGGTGCAGCTAGACGAGTCTTTAGCGGTGTTAGCTTCCACCTCGGCTTGCACCAAGCTATACAACAACTTGAATCTTGTCAGATCCGCATAATACTTCGATTCCAGCCTCTGCCGCCCAAATTATTTCATTTCATTGCATTTCAATAAAAATAACAGCAAGAAAACAAACAAACACATATCTATCTATCTATTGATAGAACATATATTAAGAAATTATTTATCAATCGATCGATGGATCAATCTTACTTACAAATATGTTGCTGCTAATGTCAGACTTTAGGATGGCCATGGCAGCCCCAAATTTATCTGTGAATGGGAATTAATTAAAATAGAAAGAAATGAATGAATGAACGAATGAAGGAAGGAAGAGGAAAGGTAATATAACTCGTTTAATAATGGACCACCACTAGATTCATTATTCATTTTATTTGCAAGAAAAAACAATGGCAACTCATGTCAGAAATCTCAATGCACAAATTAACATATTATTGACGTTTATCCATGTATCTATGTATGTATGTATTTTTACCTTATATTTCTTTCTCTGTGTTTTTTCACTCAAGCATTTCACCGAACACCTTGAATGCATTGTCACAGGAAATGATGGATAAAATCACTGAATCAGCTCTCAAACTGGTAGCTTCCTTGAATCATGATATCGACCATGGAGCTGTGGAAATCACAATAGATTATCACATGAAGAGATTCTTCGGTGCGCAATTTCAAGGTTTGTTTTGGTAAAAGCTGCCCCAAAGTGCAACAGATTTTTCAGAAATTAAGGCATTACTAAGAGTTCATATCTACCATGATGGCATCTCTTGGTGTTCCCAGAATATGTAATAATCTTCGAATATCGATCAATCCATCCAAAACAAAATTAGATAAATCGATTACCTTGAATAACATGATTATTGCACGGACATATATTTTCCAACAAGGAACAACCGGAGAATCAGCGAATTAGAGAGGGATATCAAATGATTGATCATTGAAACGGTAAAGAAAAGACGATTGAGAGGATCCCAGAGGACTTTCTGCAAAAACTTGTAGAAAGTGCAGAGAGAGCAGCCATTTCAGTTGTTCTTCGCCGGATTCAATCTGGCAGTTCATCGATGACAACTGCGGAACACTTATTGGCTTCATTCAAGACCTCCACCTTTGCGGCTACGTGATGGTGATGCTGCTGGCTTCCAAAATCGGTGAACAAATAATACAGGGATGACTGGGTCTGTCTTTAGTTTTATCTAATATTATTATATATTACTACTATTTTTCATTATATGACTATAATAATACTCCACTAAATAAAAGTATTTTGTATTAATTTTCCATATTAGTATACTAGATAATAATATTACATACATTATTTATTTATACATTTAATTTAATTTAATAAATACAAAATTTTTAATTATACTGTTGTTATGCGTTTTTCAACAATTAAAAATAAAATTCGAAAATAGAGAAATATCCCCGAATTTGATAGACGAGTGTTTGAAATTAGAAACTTCTAAACACTTTAGAATAAAATAAGAATAAAATAAAGATCGGAAAATAAAGTGGTGATCCCCAAAAGCGATTTTCTTGAATTTGATGTCGATTGAAGATGTCCTTTCTACAGTACGGAATCTTTAAATAACCCCTCGAAGATAGGGTTCGAACTGCTATCCGGTCGGTTACTATAACCGTTGTTAACTCCCCAAAAAATTCTCTTCTATCGACACGTATGAGAACCGTCCTGTCACATCCGACTTTAAAAACCGCTCGCCAGTCGAAACTACCCCCACTATCAGAAACTGCTTTTTACCCGACCTATAGGATAACTACTTTTAATACCTAACCTTTGAACTTGGTCCAACTTCAATGTCTAACCTTCTTATGCCCGACCCTTGGAATTTGTCCCGACTAGGTCCGACTTCTCTATCCGAACTATTTAGTCCCAACCAGGTCCAATCTCATCATCCATCCGACTTTCTTAAATCCGACCCTCGGACTTTGTCCTGACTAGGTCCGACTTTGACGTCCGAACTATTTGGTCCCGACCAGGTCCAATCTCCTCATCCGTCCGACCTTGGGGATTTACCCGACCAGGTTTGATCAGACTCTAAACTCATCCGACCCGGTTACTGCAATCATACTTGAACTTTCAAAAAGCCCATTAGACGTTTCGAATGACCTAATCTTGGCAGGCCCATTTCCTAAAAACCTATCCATTATTTTGTGCTCAACAACTTGCCTCCTCCCGCCGAAACGTCACTCCTCGAACTACAGAAGACGTGACGTTTTAGGGTTACAGTGTGATCATCACACTGCGCTGCGTCAAATCAAAAGGGTTTATGTTAAACCCCACCTTCATCTTCTCAAACTTACACATTCACAATTCTAAAAACCCTTTATGCTCTCGTATAGCTCCCTCCTTCGTTTTTTACTTTATTTCTATCTTTCTCATCCTCGCGTAAATGGCTAACCAATACGTTCCTGCACTCCCTTTTGACGGAACTGAACCCTCAATACCCCTTGTATCCTCCAAGGTTCTTACCCCTACAATCCGCCCTTACTGCACTACCACTGCGGATGCTGAGCGTATGAGCTCAGTCATTGTTCAAGTTTCTCCTATTATCGTCAACAATGAAGCGTTCAAACCGGAACGTTTTCTGGATAGTATCAAGACTCACTTGACTGATCCAAAAGATGCTTATCGGAAATGGTACGCGAGGCTCCTTCCTCATTTTGAAAACCAATGGAAAACCCAAGGGATTGATAAAGCTATCCTCCTTTCGACGCAACCCCTCTATCTACATGATAAAGTTCTGATGGCCATGGCGGCCTTTTGGCATTCGCAAACAGGTGTCTTTTTCCTCCTTTCAGGTCCAATGGGTCCAACCTTAATGGATGTAGCAGTGATCGCGCATTTGCCGATCACAGGAGAGGACCCCGTTCTGGTTTCTCTCGGAAATCAAGAACTTCCCCCCAACCATCAAGGTTGGGCCCTGGCCAAGCTTCCTGAAAACGAAAGAGGATGGACATACTTTGTCAATAAATATCAGGGTAAGGAGGATACCCCTGTTTCCGAGTTGGAACACACTGCTTTTCTCCTCTTTTGGCTCTGCAGGTATATCTTCTTCCTTTTAATTTCTTTTGTATGTACAAAGTTTGAATGTTTGAGCTTACATTCCTTTCTTATTTTCTTTCACAGATATATCATTCTTTCCCCTTCGAAACTTGTCCTTTCAACTCACATTGACCTAGCCATTCATTTGTCATGTGGTCATTTCACTTCTTTAGGTACCTTATTTTTAGCCAACCTCTTTGAAGGTTTAACCCGAGTAAGTTCCCGTCTTACGGATACTAAAAAGGCGGACACTGCAGCCTCAGGACCATTTTGGTTCTTGGAATTGTGGTTCCGTCTATACTTCCCCTCTGCATTTTTTGGTCGCCTTCCAATTTCTCCCAATCCTTACAGGTCTATTGGCTATGCCTTAGCCAGATTAACCCCGAACTCTTCTTGTCTAAAATCCTCTGATTCTATAATAACCCAAATTTTGACCGAAGATCGGAACAATTCCCGTTTTTTTGTATATACAACCTTAATGCAATATTCGACCGATCTTTTCTTCCTTTATCCTGACCCAACTTATCCTTTAACTCGCCCAGATCCTATCCCTCACCCGACCTACATTTTTCTTGGGACGCCGCGATGAAACCCCGATCTCTTTTTTCTAGTAGGAGGTCGGATAAGAAAAATCGTAGATCATTTTACACTTACAATTACCAACCTCAATTTTTGTCGAGGCAATTTGGTTGCTGCCAGGGCATACCAGGACCATTAGCCAGTCCTCACCTCATATTTCAAAGCCCCGAGGGTCTGGTAATTCCCGAACTCATCCCGACCTATATTTCTCAACTCACCAGCTATATCACCTCGAATTCATATCTCCCTTTCTGCCCAAAACCTTCGAAAACTGAAAATTTTCCCGCATGTTGGTCGGCCACCTGGTCTTGGCAGGCCCATTTCCTAAAAACCTATCCATTATTTTGTACTCAACAACTGTATAATATTAATCTATGAAATTTTTTGTAATTTGTTGTGTTACAAATTTTGGGACGTTAGACCAAAAGATACAAAATAATTGGTTGATTACAAAAAAAATTATATTTTATTCAAGGATTACTCACGGACTTAATTTTGTAAATAATTCCGTCTGAATACTCACGGAATTACTAACGAAATTATATTGGAGACTAATTCAGTTAATAAACTACTCACAGAATTAATTGCTTGAGTAATTACTCCATCCGTATTACTCAAACAAATTAATTCTGTGAATAATTTTCTTGAATAAATTGCAATTTATTTGTAGTGAATATAAAACTATAAATGATTATACTCAAACATAAATCAAATAAAAAATATATGAACTTCCATCGAATATAATATATTTGAATCCAACATAAGCAGGTTTAGCAAAACAAATCAAAACTGCTTATGTAGCGACACAATTCAGATTTAGCAAAGCAAATCAAAACTTCTTACGTGTAGCACAATCAAATTTAGCAAAACAAATAAAAATTCTGTACGTAGCAATCAAAATGATTTCATACATCCCTGGCAAACTCGGTAATCTTTCACATTGAGCATAGCGCTTAAACATACTAATTATAACATAATATATATTTTTTTAAAGCACAAACATATGACGATTCAACCATAGAACGAAAGCAACGCATATCATCACAAACATTTTCAAAGATGATCATATCAGATCCATTCCAACATGCAAACATGGATATCTAAATTAGTTCTTGGGGGTCTTTAAGAAAAGCAATAACAACAATCATCCATCCCCCTAATTAAAAATCACCAGACCCACTCTAGCGACAACGTTGGACGGAAGAGATGTGCATCAGGAAGTCGACAACCAAGTGATAAACATACCAGATGTCTCATTGTGCCACGAGTCGGATTTTTCCAACGACAATGAAACTATACTACTTTCATGTGATAATGGAGATCATATGTAAATTCAATAATCTCATCGATTATTTCGTAGTATTCTATGGAGTCTCTAAATTCAACATTGCTAACCACAAACATACCATAACGTTGTGAATCTCTACCAACTCCCCAATCGTAAGTACTAAAAGACAATTCATCTATTTCACACTCTTTGTAATACGTAGCCTTATTAAATATGCCTGCGGCTAAGGCTAGTATCATTGGTGAGATTTGTGTGGCATCAAACGCATTGACCTATAATATTTATAAATATAGGACATATTACATTTAATTTATAGTTGAGTTTCAATTTAAAGTGATTTGTAAAAATTATGTACTGATTGTTTAAACCAAAACACATAGCCTTCAAAAATACTTTGTCAATGGCACATTCATTCCTCCCGAAATGTTGTATGAGCCCATTACGGTAAAAACTAAATTGCAACATAAAAAGGTTTTAATATCATACTATTTCTTGAACTAAATTTATTCAAATATATTAAATCAATACCGGTAGAATTATTCTGCCTCGGGAGTGTTTGTGAGAATGTAGGTCTTAGCGGCCTTAATTTTTTATGCACTTACATACTTGGTTTTTGCCTGCCCCGAAACTACCTCGACATGATTGAAGATTGAAAACCTCGTTGATTGATTCCGAGATTCAGAGTACTCTCAACATTCCTAAACAATATACGCAGAGCAAATGGAAGCCTCGACAGGTGCCTCTTTTTAACCTTTTTCTTCAAATCAGGTAGGTCTGTGGATAACTAAAACAAAAGAAATTAATTATGAATTTATTTCAATTAATAGACAAAATTCATAAACGGTAAACTTCATTTCAAAAGGATACATCGAACGATAGTGTACAGGTCCAATTAACATACATTCCTCTGGAAAGTGGACCATTAAATGTTCCATACTATTGAAAAATGCCGGGGGAAAATTTTTTTTCTAGCTTGCATAGGACCAATGATAAACTCTTTTGCAATTATTTCAATTGCTCCAAATATAAAGTAGAAGTGTATACTATTTGTAAAAGAAGACTTACCTCAATAATAGTATCCCATGCATAACTCAGAAGAAGTGTCCGAAAAGCAATATGGAATAGCCGTTGCATGAAAATATGTGCATCGTGATTCTTCATCTATATTAATTCACTCTGGAAATATCCACATAGTGGCAAATATTGGACACAAAC